TGGATCTTCTACTTCTATAGTAAGTAGTTCTTTAAAGTGTTCCACCCACCTTTTCAGTACTTCTTCTTTTGTATTTAGTATATGCCCCTCCTTATCCTTACATAGTCTGAGCCTTGGTTTGAATTCCTTTCTTGCGTTATTCAGAGTTTTGTAGAATTTTCTTGTTTGGTTTTCCTTTTTTAATACCTCAAGTTCTTCCAATATTCTATTTTCGTGAGTTCGCTTTTTCCTTCTATGAATGCACTTCTCTTCTTTTCTGAGATCTTTATATTTTTGCTGTTTTTCTCGGGTTCTTCTTTGCTGCATCAGTTTATATGCATCGTTCTTTCTTCTTGTAATGTCCTCACACTCAGCATCAAACCAGTCATTACGTGGTGGTGGTCTTTCTGGCCCTAGAATATTATTTGCTGCCTCTTTAATATTATTTTTACACATTTCCCATTGTTCACTAATTGTTAGGTCCTCATGAATTATGTGTTTAGTTTCGATATAGTTTTGAAACCTTTCTACTGTTTGCGGATTTTTGAGGATTTCAATATTGAGACGCGTTGTTTTGGTACTTCTCTCCTTCTTCGCATTTGAGATTCTAGCTCGAATTCGTGTGCCAACTAGAAAGTGATCTGAATCAATATTGGCGCCTCGATAGGTGCGGACATCCATTAGGTTTGAGAAGTGTCTAGCATCTATGATCACATGATCAATTTGGTTGTTCGTTAGTCCATCAGGTGAGGTCCAAGTCCACATATGTATTTTTTTGTGTAGAAAACATGTGCTTCCTACGATCATGTTCTTTGCGGCTGCGAAGGTGACTGCTCGGTGTCCATTCGAATTTGTATCATTATGGAGACTATATCTACCGATGTGCGGTAGATATATTTCTTCCCTTCCGATTTTTGCGTTCAGATCACCGATTACTATTTTAATGTCATTTCTGGGACAACTGTCATATGTTCTTTCTAATTCCTCATAGAAATTGTCTTTTTCTTCGTCTTCCTTGTCCTCTGTTGGGGCATGTACATTAATAAGACTAATATTAAAAAACTTACCCCTGATCCTTAAGCAGCTCATTCGTGGATTTATTGGCTTAAAATCTATAACCAAATGCTTGACTTTATTACTGACTATAAAGGCTGTCCCAAATTCATGTCTAGTTCTATGGCAACTGTAGTATATATTGTAGTTTGTTTTTTCGATTATGCCATGGCCTATCCATCGTACTTCTTGTATTGCAGTAATGTCAGCGTTATATTGTGCTAATATGTCACACAGTTTTCGGATGTTTCTAGGTTCGTTGAGTGTGCGAACATTCCAGGTAAATACTTTAAGATCGTTGTCCTTATTTCGTTGCATAGGTCGTCGTCGAGATTTCCGTCCAGCATTTTTAACTTTAGATTTCGTAACTATGGGTTTTTACAGGGTTGGGTAGTTAACCCAACGCCATTTTTGTAGTATACAAAATATTAAACTTCTCTTCTTGCAAATCTTGCAAAATCCTTTTTAAATAACGGGATATTTTTATGAGATTAAGCCACAATTGGTTGTAATGATAATTACATTTA